TGGAAATACTGTACAAATAGCATCAAGTCCCTTGCAAAGGCATTATTTAAGTGAGCCTGAAGGTGCTTAAAAGAAGGTCCAAAAGAAGATACAATGTAGATGCATATGCATCTCAAATGTACACTTGACCAAAAAAGCAATGACAAATTATTTCAAATAGCTTTATGTACAGAGCTTGTTTTCTATATTATATCTTACAGGAATGAAATATTTAGATAACATAAAAACACAAATATTCCATTTTCATTTTTCCCAGGCTTATGAGCACAATTTGTTTGTAATGATAAAATTACAACTGCAAGCTTGCGTAGTTATTTTTAGTCTAGCACACATTTGAAGTTAAAATAACTTCTGTGCATCTTATAAAGTAAATAAAATAAAATAAAACAAAATGGTTATCAACACATTTTTACCTTGTAGGAATGAGACATCTCAGAGAAGAAGCTGATCTGCCTATTTAGAAGCTTATTTACTACTATTTACTCATTAACAAAACTGAAGTTTAGGAAACCTAACACATATGGTAGGTTCATTGCCTTAATTAAGAACCTTATTCTAACACATTAACAAGTGAGAATGGGAAAAAAAAAAACAAACAAACAAAAAAAAACATCGTAAATTAGTTTTTGTTTTACTCAACAAGTCTGTAAGCACTATTACAGTTAGAGAATTTTGCAAACAGTATATTCACTAGAGAGGAGTTTGGCACTGTGCTGCAGAAGTGTCTCAAATCCCAATATACCTGTATAACCTGGTCATAACAAGCTTGTGGTGCCAGAAAAAAATAAGCAGTTTACATACAACAGAGCTTGTGGACAGAAGTTTTTAAATTATAAAGAAAAAAAAAAAAAAAAAAAAAAAAAAACAGCACATACCACAAACCTGAAACTAAAAGAGTGTGGACTTTCTGACTTGGATGTTGTATGAAGTATGAAGTAAAAACGTAAACATTTACAAAATCAGCATATATATGTACCCCATTTTGTGCCCTCCAGAACACATCCAAGCCCAAGGACCCTGTTATCTCTGCTACCTCAATTCCTAAATGAGCTGTTTCCTCCTGTGAACCACCCAGCTGACACATTTCCCCTCTCCCAGACCATCTGCTTTTCTTTCTGAGAAAAAATAATTGTATTTCACCTCATTCTGAACCAGCAGCCCAAAGCAATGAACGTTTCACCTGCCCACTGTAGGCCACAGACCACAGCCCCCAGCATCATACCTTGAAAAACACAGTTAGGTATATCTGCCCCAAAGCCTCTGCACTGTAGGAAGACCAGGCATTTTTGACTCCCCACTTGTCATTTACCTTTCCTACATGAGTCAAGAAGCTCCATTCCCAGATCCAATTGAAGTTGGTCATTAGTTACTGGAGCCACAGAAGGGCTTACCAGCCCTGCCACAAACTAGATCCCCATCACACTCAGGGCTACAAAGACAGGCAAGGTTCCTTTCCCCAAGCAGCTCCACACCTCATCCATTTTATAGGAAAAAGCTATTGGGTACACTGGGTACCACATTCTTCAGTTGACAGAAAAAAAATGAGACATTGTACTAGTCTGAAAAGATCTGTTTTAGAAACACAGTGAGTAGCAAGAGAGGAGCCACAATTCCATTTTCCTGGCATTTTTACATGAGTGAGAGGTGTGGAATATAGTCCACTTAGACTTGAAGTATGCATATTCAGAATTTTAGCCCTGTGCTCAAGGTTCTTTGTTTTTTATTTTCTCCTTTTCACATCAGACATTTCCTTTTCACATTATGACATGAGGAAATGGCCTGAAGTTATGCTAAGGGAGGTTTAGATTAGATATCAGGAAGAATTTCTTCATGGGAAGGGTGGTTAGACACTGGAACAGGCTGCCCAGGGAAGCCGTGGAGTTACTTTCCCTGGAGGCATTTAAGAGATGAGTGGATGTGACACTAAGGGGCATGGGTTAGTGATGGACTTTGTAGTGTTAGGCAGATGATCGAACTTGGTGATCTTAAGGTCTTTTCCAACCAAAGTAATTATTTTCCATAGAATTCCATATTCCCAGTGGACAACAAATCAAAACTCCATTTTGAGCCCCAATACCCCCTTGGCCATCTAGGAAACAGCAGTTTTAGGCCCAGACCTAGCCAGCCAGCTCCCGCCGTGCTGAACGAGGGGCCCTGCGGGATGCTCGTGCATTGCATTTACAGAGCGAACGGCAGCCTTCTGAGGAAGGCAGACCATCCGTGAAAGCGCAGCTTGAGCTCACCAGGAGGGAATGCTGGTGAAAGCTTTAGTGCAGAGATGCTTGCTGAGAAATGAGGGTCCTGTGGAGAACATGCCAAGAGGCTCCGTTTTACTGTCTATAGGGAGCGTGCATTATCCTGTGTTTCTGAGAAAGCAATCTAAGAGAAAGCTAAATGCTTTTTAAAAAGAAGAAAGAAAGAGAGAGAGAAAGAGAGAGAGAGAGAGAGAGAGAGAGGAGAGAAAGAGAGAGAGAGAGAGAGAGAGAAAAGAGAGAGAGAGAGAGACGAGAGAGAAAGAGAGAGAGATGAGAGAGAGAGAAAGAGAGAGAGAGAGAAAGAGAGAGAGAGAGAGAGAGAGAAGGAAAAAGAAAGAAAGAAAGAAAGAAAGAAAGAAAGAAAGAAAGAAAGAAAGAAAGAAGAAAGAAAGAAAGAAAGAAGAAAGAAGAAAGGAAAAGGAAGAAAGAAGAAGATAGAAGGAAGAAAGGAAGAAAGAAAGAAAGAAAGAAAGAAAGAAAGAAAGACATGCTACACATCAGTTTGTAAGGACACCGCACCCTGAACATGTTGTTCCTCTAACATTTCGACTGAGCACCAGGGATTGGGCAGTAAGCTGATGCCAATGAATCTGCCATCACTCCCGCAGCAGCAGGACTGGGGGCGAGCCCAGTAAGCCCACAGACAGGCAGCACTCCCAGCAATAACCTGCTGCTCTGCTCCTCAGAGAAGAGCAGGAACAGCTGCCTGCAGGAGTGAACTCTGCCCAGAGCCAAATCCTGCCACATGCGCCAGAGCAGCTCTCGGATGGGAAGGGAGGGAGAGGAAGGGATGGACGCTCACATCTTCCTGAATGTTCCTGACCTGAGTTCCCACCGCCCCCACCATGTCAAGGCTTTTTTTTTTTTTTTCCTCCCAGCGGCAGTAAATTACTTGACTAAGCTAAACTGAGAAGCCTGTGCCACACCTTTCCCACATTCAATGGTGCCTTTCTGGTGTATATTCCTAACGAAATAAGTGAGCTGGGGTCTTAGTGCCCACACTGAGGGCTGCAAGCCTCCCTCACAGCTGAGCATGGGCTGCCAGGCCAGTAGGTAACAGCCACATCACCACCCACCCTACAACCAGCAAAGTGCAGAACGGGGTGGGGGGAGCACATTGAAACTTTTTATTGCCAGTGCTAGCTGTAAGATGCTCCCCATCTAGAAATAAAGGGCATATGAGGAATGACCTGTACTTGGGCTGCAAAGGCTCTCAGGCAGCTTTTGTATTTCCTGGCCCTCCTAGGTCTAAAGGCACATCGTTACCCAAGAGCAATAACTGCTGTGTTATACCACCCAGTAAGAACATGAGCAGCTCGCTCGAGCTGCTGCTAAACTGGAGCCATTCAAGTCCTAAATAGCAGCTATTGCGATGCATCATACTTTTCAAATGAGAAGAAAAGCTGAGCGCCTCTTTCTTTTCCATTTTTAGAGCTGTGCTGTAATCTGCATAGCTGCAAAACCACAGCTGACACCCCACCACACTCTGCAGTGACTGGAGTAAGCAGCAAAAACACTACTGAATTTTTGGACTATCTGTCCCAATATACCCTTCTCCCCTCTGCCCACAAAGCCTGTAATCTTGCTTCAAAATCCCAAAACACAATTAGGAACCTTTCCTGGCTTAAAATCTTCTTTGCTTAAGCTCCTAAACTTTTAATTGCACTTTGCTGATACGGTTTATAGATATATGGAAATTCTGCCAGCTGTCCACGGCCAGTGAATCAGCTGAGGAACAATTCAATCTCAGGGATTTGCGCCTGGCTAATTACTCTCCTCCCTTGTGCGCACCTACTGATACAATTGCATATTTAACTACATGAGACTAGACCTTATGCACTGCTGAACAGAACTGCGTGAAGCTCCGAAATAAGAATTCATCTTTCTCTTTTTCCTTTGTACAGCCTTACTTCAGTAGGAAGGAGCTTGCAGAGGAGCTGTAAAGTAATTATTTTCTAAAGCGTAAGTCTTTCTTCTGCTGTCCAGCAAGTAGAAAATGGAAGAAATTACATATATATGACAGCAAGATACACGAGGACAAGGTAGGATTTTTGTTGTTTCTTGCAGTTATTAGCCTGGGCACCTTTAGCTGAATATGCAATCAGAATAGAAATCTTTAGCAGGAGAACAAAACTAGGATACATTGTGCTATAAGCAGAGTAGTCATGTTTTAGTGACTTTTCAAATCCAGTTATTAACATTTGAATAAGTGCTTTCAGGAGCATTAAAGAGAATACTGCTTTCTTTAGTATAACTTTGGTTGAAAGCACTTTTTTTTTTTTATGAAACTGCTGAACTCCCTATCCTTTTTAATTCACTCTGAAAAGCTCCAGCCAATGCTTCTTTCCAAAGCAGCAAAGTAATTTTCTTTAAGATAAATTAAATACTCTAAGCACTCATATTCCTTATGTGTTGTATAAACACATCCTAAAAAGGACAAGAATTTCATAATCACTAACAATAATTTGGTGTTAAGCATCCTGAAATAATCTGCTTTTTCATCACACATAAGATATTAATAATAGTAACTGACCGTTACTGACAACATAATAATTTAAGTGTGCTGACAATTATTGAATTCAATGCACTTCAGAGAAATGTAAATGACAGAAGAGAACAGCTGTAGCCCCATGACTAATGTGTGTCCTGGAATCTGACCATCAGCTTTGCTATTTCAGTTTACTGACCTAAATCTCCCTCCCCTACCAGAAACAAACAAGAAAACCCAAACAAGAAATGTCTTACTTGTTCAGTCTTCTCTGGTTGTTTTCTATCCGCCTGCAAAAACTGACAGTTTTCTCGTGCCAGCTTCTGGACTAGCTCAATCCGTCCAATGTCATCTCTTTCCTGAAGCTTGCACAAAACCCCTGCCTTAAGGGTGGGAGAAAGAGCAAACAGATACTTAAATCCACAATCCCAGGACATGGCACTGCCACAAAATTTCAACCTTAAAAGAAATGCATCTGTTTGATCATATTTGCTGGAACTCCGTGCCGCTCGCTAAACACAAACGCTGCTCCCTGGGAAACAACTCAAGAGCTGAGGCACATCTGAACCTCCAAATGTGTCTACTTTGGAGGAACGAAGGCAGGGCTAACTAAATCAAGTGCTACTATGTGTGCGACTGATATGCTGTGTTTTGTTTGTTCCTGTCAGCCTGTTTCCTGTTACATCAGAACAAGCGCAAGAGGTTAAAAACTCATGGGAAAGTTAGCCAGGAACAGCCCTGGAAAAAGAATGAAGCGCAACACAGTCACTCCTAAAAATAACAGGCTGCAATTCCCATCGCTCCAGCTCCACCAATTTTTCATGTATGCAAGCTGTAAGAGTTAAAAGAAAGTTGCACCGCATTTAAGTATTCTACTTAAAACAAATTATATAGTCCAATTCTGTTTAGGATAGAAAATGAGATTTACTTTAAAAACTACACTAGAACTACTTTTTAGCTGATATTCTGCCAGTTATACAAGCTATGCTGATAGCATTTCACCATAACACTGGTTGTTTTATAACAAGGTTGTATATATAAATTCAGATTCATGCTTGCACACAGGTACACCAGACCCATGCCTTAGAAAGTCAGCTGACAGGCTAAATTGCTCACTGCAAAGTCAGTGGCTAATATTACTATCCATGATATGGTCATGGATATAGCCTCTGCATCAAGAACTGGCTCAATGATACTGCACAGCTTTTATTAACCCAGATGTTTCCTGATAGCACTGCATATGCCTTGGCATGTGGCACAGCTATGTTATTGCTATATGACTTCAGAGGCAATCTGCAAATAAACCTTTATCCTCCACACTTGTCTTTCTACTACTCATCCTGAGTTTTATTGAATCAGTGTTTGCTCAAAAATTCATAAAACAGTCTGGATGAATCTCCTCACAAGCCTCCATCAGTGACTTGTACTCTAGAGAAGGAAAGAATTTGGGATACAGCCTGTGCTTTGCATGTTCTATGCTTCATCCCCAACCTCCTGAGGCACAAAACCTTTTCAGATAATGAATCTAAGCACTGGTATGAAGGTCTGAAATCCACCAAAAAATAAGGAATTGTAGTGCCAAACTTGAAGATCCTTACATTTTCTATGAGATTAGCTCCTCATCTCCCAAATCAAGGATATGGATTTATTAGCCAACTTTGACACACTTATCACCTGCAGATCAGAAGTGAGATGGATTTTATCAAATGCAGAAGAATACAATGAACTAGTTGTCCAGACTCTCTTTAATAAATATAGAAGAGGTACCTATGAAGGGTAATATTTTTATTTATTTAACTCTACAGTACTTTTTAAAATAGCCAAATGATTTCTTTCCTAAAACTCACATTTTTCTCCACTAATATACACAGGGAGCCTAGACCATTACCACAGATTTGGCTGATGTGGGGACATCAACTAGAGCCAAGCCAGCTTATTTCATGGCTTATGGATGCTTCTAGCAGAGTGTACTCTAACATCTGTGCACTCTAATCCACACAGGCTTGTAGGCTAAGGACAACTCAGTGTTATGGCTTTGGGACTATAAAGATTTGCAGCCTCTCTGGATTTGGGCTATAACTACTGTAGGGGCACTTTTCACACCTTTACATTGCACCCAAGAAGTCAGACCATGATCTACATGAGGCATGGATGGTTACATGTTCCCATCCTTCAAATGTCAGATATCCAACAGGAATGCCCCACTCAGTCTGCTGAACAAGTATTGATCTCCAGCCTGCGAAGCAAAACGTAAAGGCTAAAACTCTTATTTTAAGCTGAGGAAGAGGGATTTCACTTTGGAGGGAACAACCAGCTTCAGGATGTTCAAGTGGAAGAAACATCCTGGAAAAAGGCTACTTTTTGAGCACATGGCCCTCACCTCCTTTCACTGTGTGTTCAGGCAGAACATGCTTTCTACACAGATAAGCATCCCACGGAAGAAGTAACACTAGCTACAAGCCTGTTATCCCTGCCACAAATACTGCCTGTATTCAAACTGAGAATTTCTTTAAAGAATTCTGTTATCCTCCTGCTTCAAATAACCACCAAGTAGAGACATTACTTTTTAGCATGTGCCTACTCCCCCCACTGTTTTTTAATTTAAAGAATTGTAAAGAATGGGAAAAATATATTTATTATATTGGGCTGCTGGAGGATAAAAAGTCAACTAAAATTTTCTGAGAAAGTTAGAGTAATATCAAGTTAAGTGTACTTATTTGGCTCTGGCAGTAAATAACACTTAAAACACAAAAGTCTAAATATGCTTTTTCATAATTAAGAACGAAAATACAAATCCCTCACTCTTAATTCCATTTTCCTCAATTATACTGACTTTCCACTATAAATCTTTCTGCTTAATAATATAAGAAACCATCCATCTCAACTAATTAATTGATGACAGCTTCTAAAAGCTGGTTGTGAAGATACTGTTAGTCTCATATTACTGGTCATTTTCACTTGTCAATATGAATTTAATTTTCAAGTAATACCTCTAAAGCTCTTAGGCAAAAGGGTAAAGACCAGAAATCCTACTTGTAAAATGCAATTGCAATCTGTATTTTGTGCAGGCACACAACCTACACAATCCTGCATGCTCAAATGTTTGTGCTTAGCCCTCTGATTCATGTATATCAGCAGAGATGCAAGTACTAACCTATGTGAAGGTGAAAATTATGAAGTTGCATATTTTAACCGGCTTTAACTGTCTGAACGATAGCATAATGTAGGAGCTTTATAGTGAGGCTTCACTACCATTCACAGCACAAAACTACTATAATAAAGGTGTTTATGGAATATTTGAAATGGAATAAGGTAAAGAAAATGAATTAGTCAATACTGAGGTTGGAAAAGGAAAGATGCGGGCAATACATTTTCTTTTTCAGCACATCCCTTGGAAAATATTTCATCTGCAAAAGCCATAAATGAATATGCTAGTAGTGATATGGAGTTGAATTAAAACATCCCCATGATGACAGGATGGCACACTGTTTATAGCATGCTCACTTTCAAAAATCCCTGTACTGAATTTTCTCCATGTTTCAAACAGTTTTGTAACCTAACTCCGAGGCATGACAATTCTATGCTTAACAGAGTAGAGTTTAGAGCAGGCACCGCACCCTGAAACTTTGCTAACAGAAGAGATTTTTTTCCCCACTGTACCTCTGTCTCTGTCTGCATCTTTTGAAAACAATGTAATTATTACAGGCTTCACCTTTGATCAACCTGAAAACTAAAAACCATACACCACTGTCTAGACAGATCATTTGCTTCGCTCCAAGTCACTTGCTTGGTCTCGCTAAAGTGAAAAAATCATTCACACCCTTAACCCAAACTGTATTCAGTGTTTGCAGAATGTCGTTTTTATGGGACTAATGAACAAATTAGAGCTACAGTTGCTTTGACAATGCCACTGCTCTCTTCGCCGTTGAGTACTTCAACACTTCTTTTAACTTCTCAATTGATAATTAATTTTAAATGTGTTTCAAATTCTTGTAAACTTTAGAAGGTGATTTACAACCAAATAAGATCTGAGCAAAGAAACACCAACAATTAATTCTTATGGTTTTTTGGTCATCTGACTATGCAGTCTTACTAGCTGTCTACTTATGAGCTTTGAGCACACATTGTAGTCTTTCCTTTCATATCTCTTATATAAATGCAAAAAGTGTTTCCCCAAAATAATAATTACAAACATCAAGTAAAACAGAGCATTTATGAAACATGGAAAAGAAAATGGTAAACCAGATTATTTTTTTTCAGTGATGTTAGTGCACACACAAGTGTAAGAGGACTGACCCTCTTTGTCACACTGACGTCATTTAGGAATCAGTTAGGTAACAAAATTTTCATGCCTTAGGGCTCCTACACTTTTTTCTTTTCAAAACAGATTAGTGACTTGCTGCAATTAAGAACAGAAAAGCAAAGGTCATTTCTGAACACCTTGCTCAAGTATTACTGTGAAGACTGTGATAAAAGTCCCAGTCCCAGGCTGATACAAGAGGTATGTCCACATGCTCCCTGGCTCTTGTGCCTGTACCCTCAAGGTGTCTGTCATGATCCAGGTGTGCTACAGAAGGTGTCTGCAGTCTCTTCTGCACTCACAGTGCTCAAGAGAACCTGTACCTCTAGAAAGATACAGGTATTGCTGACATGGGTGCAGGGCTTGTACCTATTAGAATGGTGTTAGTCAGACATCAGTGCAAATCCTGCTTCTCATAGATCATAGCTGGCAAAATGTAAAGAAAGAAGTCAGAGACAGGAACAACAAGCTGTATGTGTCAGGAAAAGAAAAGGTGACAACTGGTGGGAGATATCAGATTTTCAAGAGGCACAGAAGAATTAAAAAAAAAAAAGTCAAAAATGGGAGAAATCAATTTTAAAGTAGAAACAATAATCAGTACCAGTACAATGATTAATATAGTTATGCTTGCTCAGTTTGAATGAGTGAACTGAATGACTGAATGAACTGAAGATTAATCAAAACAGATTCACAAAATCAAAAGGGGTAAGAAATCCCACAGTAAAATACTTGAGAATGTAGTTAAATTTCTTCTGAGTAATATCTAGAAGCATGCTTTGGTTGTAAATGAAGGCAGTTAGGGAAGGAAAGAAAAAAGGTTGTTGCTTATACTCAAGTGACTCTTAAGTATCCTCATTTTATTGCATGTCTACTTACAGTGATTAAATTTCAATCAAAATGTCATATGCCCTTGCCTCTTAAACACATCTCATTTTATTTTCACATCTGGTATATGCTATGTGTGTTATCTAGAAAGAGCAGAGAGAGTTTAAAAATGCTGCCCGATTTCAACATCATGGGATTAATTCCCAGGGTGATCATCAATCTTATTCTAAATAGTCACATATGACATGATCCAGCAGACTTTCTCTTTCCTATGGGCTCCCCACTCAGAACACTGGGGGAAATCCATTTCCCAGTACTAAACAGCTATCAGAAACAGATCCTTCAACTTGTAGATCTGAAAAAGTCTCTGAGATGCTGTTAATCTTATACATTTACCTGAGCATCAGAGGTATCCTTGAGCTCTTCTAGCCCTCTTTTTTCTTGACTGTTGTTTTCTTCATTTTGATGAATTGCTAAAATAAGAAAGAAAGAATGTATTGGAAGTGTGTATGTTCTAATCACAAGAAGCCCAAAGCAGCATGGCCCAGGCTAGATCAAACACAATGACCATTCAACAAACATGGTTCCTAATTTAGCTTTCTAATTAAGTCATCGAGTGGTTTTGGACTGACTTCTATATACCTTATTTTACCAAAACACTAAAATGTAGTATTGAATAGGTATATTCCTGCTGCTGTATTATTCCTGATAAAGAAGTGCAATGTAAGGAAACTCCCATCTTTTCTATATCTTATAACAAGACTTAATGACTCATGAAGAATGAAAAACAGACATCCCTTTATTTTCATTTTATTGCAGAAGGTCAAATCAGACTAAACAAAATAACCAGATTTATCCCTCATCTCAACCTTGGAAAATTCTATGTAAGCAGTGATCTCAATCTCAAATACCACCAGTATCCATTAAAATAATTTCCAAAAATAAATGGTAACAGAAGACTGAAGATTATTCACAGCTAGCTCAATAAGAGAAACCTGTAGCTTAGCTCAATCAACACCACTTAACACCATCAGAGTTTTGCCAGACTTCAGAAAAAAAAGTTTTAGATCAGACATGAATTGTGGAAGGGCTGAATCAGAGATATCAGCTTGTCTATAGCTTAAGAAACAGGGACCACTTTTGGAGGGACACATCAGACTTGTTTTGCAAACAGATATATCTATAGGGTGCAAAAGTACCTACAGAGCCCAAGTAGAACCCCTTCCAGTCAACACTCCCTCCTACAATATTTTGGTGGGGGGACAGCAAGCCCTCAGCCGTTCTGAAATGTGACACACAACAGAGAAGTCAGATAAGACTCAATGAAACATGTGAGAAGTGACTTTTCTTACAACCACCACTCTCAAATACCATTGTTCTTTTTCTACACACTAAATGACTTGTCCATAATAGCTGTAACAACAAAAGCATCCTTGAAGTGGCAGAGCTCGCCTATCCCAGCTTCATCAGCCACCTTCACCAAAGCTGTCCTGAGCTCTCAGCCTGAACCTTTAGACACAGCCAGGTTACCACAGCTGAGCTGATGCAGGTAACTGGTGCCATGAGATCTGGCTTGTTCAGTCTGCTGCAGACACGAGGTAAAGTTGGTTTAAACCTCCAGCAGCATCCAGCACCTTAAAAGAAAAGTATCTTTAGACTCTTCATGAACTCTAAAGATACGGATTTATTTTCTTTTTACTGCAGGATATCTGTTGATATTGCTATGCCATAGAGGTTGCAATTCTTCTTTCTTCCTGCACGGTTATACCATTAAAATAAATAAATAAATAAATAAAAAGTAATACAGATGCAATTATAAAAAGAGAAAAAAAAAGTAATTTTGTCAACACAATATATTCTATTCGATTTTGTTTTTTTTTTAATCCACTATCTAAAGAAAACAGAGGTCTGATACAAATTTGGACTAGTGGCTTTGCTGACACCATTTCACCAGCCAACCTCTGAAATTCAGGGTGAATGCTGAAAATACCAGGTTAGTCTCTAGTTGTAACACAAAGCATTTATAATTGGGGTTAAATCACAGTAGTCTTCAAAGCCAGATGAAACCAAAACCTGATTGTGACACTGCTGGAAAAGTAATAATCCAGTAAAGCCATAACTGGAGTTCCAGCCTCAAAAGCCTTGTGTGGCCCCTGCTTTCCTATCCCATGATTTCTCAAGGCAACCTACTCCATGCAGCCATGCCAGGGGCTCTGTGCAGCCCCTTCCCTTGTAGTCCCAGCCTTCCTCCTCCCAGAGCTGCAGGGCATGAAGCATTCAGGGTATGGATGTGCTGAACGTGACTCAGAACAACAGGCATGAGACAGGAATGTTGCAATGCCAGAAGGCAATAACGAATGCTAAAAATACATTTGTTTGAGCATTTGTGAATTGCTCAAATCTATGGCTGTGACAGAAGAAACACATTTCCCTAACTCTCCTTTTACTTTCCTGGTTTGTCCTAAAATCAATTTGTGCTAGCCACTGATGGCCAAAGCATCCCCTCAGATGCTGGCTGCTACTCATGGCATTTTAAGTGACCAGGTGATCTCCATGGGTCCAGGCAGCTTCTCCCACAAGCCTGAGCAGGTGGGGATGCTGCAACCAGCTGTGATGGGGAAAAGGTTGGTGGCTGATAACCAGTTGTTTGCTGCTCTGCTATGGGTGTCCCCACCCTTGCCCAGGGCCAGGGCCAGTGCCCAGACCTACTTTGACCAAAATGAACCAGCCAACCTTAGAGAAAGAGCACACAGCTGCTACCCCAGCTGGTGAATAGAGAGGGGACAGTACCAGTGACAACAGCAAGCACCAATGGCTGTGGGGAATTGCATCTTGCAGCTAGCCCAAAGAAGAGGAAGGTGCATGTCCACAGCCTCCGCAGTTACAGACAGCCTCAGGAGCTGAACAATTTTAGCATGAGAAATTTTACAGCTGATGAGAAAATGGCCTCAGTTTAGACATACCCTAAATGAACCCATGATTTAAAAAAAAAAAAAAAAAAAAAAGTTGTTTTTGTTTTGTTTTTAATCAGCAATTTCACAGCTCAGCTCTAAAAAAGCTGAAAAAGTTCATAATCCAAACGCAGCTCCCCTTGGCTTCAGTGTTGTTTAGACTGCATGAGGAATGTAGAAAAGAACCAGTAAATATTTTCATAAAGGAAAAAAAAATAATCCTAGACCTTCCAGTGATGTGTTCCTAGCCCTCTTGGGAGGGAGGGAGCAGAGTCAGCCTCTTTTTCAAGACATTTCCATCACAAACTTGATTGGGTAAGAGACAGGGAGGACACAACAAACCAACAAACACACAAGAACCAACTACAGTTTGAATCCTTTAGCTACATCGAGGGAGTAATACTGAAAGAATCACACCATCTAATACCTTGTTTTCAACCACAAGAATACAGTCCCTTGAGAACTGAGGTGGCCGTATTGGCAAATAACAAGCCTTAATTATATTTTCATGGTTTCTGCGTGAAAAGATTATTACATGTTTTGTCTATATATATAAAACAAAACAACAACAACAAAAAACCACCATGAATCTCTTAAAATATTCCTATAGGAATCCCATACTCCTATTCCATGGGTCATCACACACGCACACACGATACAGATTGCTCTATCTCTGTACACAGCCTGCATCCTAACCCAGTACCAACTCACAGACATCCCATGACATGGGACGTACACAGGTTTATGTGTGCAAGAATTCCCACACAGGAAACCAGCCTGTGGCTGTGGCCTCAGCACTGCCCTAACAGGCTCTTGTGCATGCAATAAGTGTTCAGCCATAAAGTATAAGAATTCAAGGATAATTTCCCACTTACTCTCAGTTGCCTTAAATTTTTGACTAAAAAGACTTGGCATTGCAAATTCTACTGAAGGAAAAGCAACAGGAAGGTTAGGGTGGGATGGGAAATTATTTCCCAGGAAAGTGTTGATTCTGGGACAGCTCCCTAAAACTGTGATGTGTACATGCAAAAAAGTTGTGAATTTTGGAGCTGGGCCAACCACTGCCTTTACTGCCAGCATAAACCCTGATTCTCTCCTTATGATACAAATGCTCCAGCACATCTGACAAAGTAGCAACACCACAGAAAAGCAAAGGGGGTCTACCCTGGTCTGTATACAAATGTATAATGACCGGCCCCCTTTTCTACCTGCAGCATTTCTCCTCCTTTGATCTACGGGAAAGGCCACCATGAATGAAAGAAAAAGACGTTAAATGAGCATTAGCTTGTTAATGTGCAGCTCAAATGCGTCCATTTGCAACTTAGCCTAAGGAATTCAGGATGTTGACTTTTCTATGGTCACTTCAGGATCACAAGGGGCATCATCTGATTTGAGTTCCTTGAGTCCCTGTGGACCACAGCTGAGGTCTAGCTAGAGGACTCTTCTATAAAACTAACTTTGGAATACAGAGTTCTTGCAGGAGAGAGCTTTATCCTTTAGCAATCTGATTTCAGCTCATTAAATCAGCAGAAAAAAATAACAAAGAAATAAGAAGGAAAAGTAAATCATGTACTAGCTATGTCAGCAAAGTCAGCCATCACAAGGGGATTAGAAGGGAAAGGGAACACAACCATCACTGATACAGGAACCAAGCACATCCTTTGTGTCAACATTTCTGACCCACAGTGCTCCCCTGCTTTTATGGCCTTGCCATAGAGTATAAAGCAAATTTAAGATTCATCTCCCTCAGCAGCCTGGAGAATCGGAGGCATGCCAAAGAGCTCCCTGCTAGCCTGCCTGGCAGTGCAGCAGGGTCCCAAGAGCCACCCCCAGCACCGAGTGCTGTCTTGTGCCTACAGAAGCATCACTGCCAGGGGATTCAGCATTGCACAGCTGTGCTGCCCCCCAAGATGTTGCTCTGTACACCCCATACTTGAAGGTAAATCGTGTTTGATGTACAAGATTTTTAGAAGTCACATCATACAACACGTACTTTGTGCTACACAAAACAGCAGAATCTTTTGCCTGAGTGAAAGTAGAAAGGACAGTTTAAAAAAAATAATAATAAATCCATCCATAAGAAAGTCCTGGAACCCACAGCATTACAATCTTCCCAGAGGCTTTGCTCTATTGTGCAGCAGCACGGCTTTCTTCCTCTGCCATAAATGAAGTTTCTTCTTTCTACCCCTTCTGGCAGCGAAGATAACCTTCCCTAGACAAACCCCTGCGCTATCGGCGCTGCAACCAGCCCCACCAGAACAATACCACCAGGAGAGGTGTGAACTTCCTCCCTTTGGCTTAATAGGGTGTGAACTCTGAGAGCTAATTATTTAAACGCTGCAGAGGGGACGCCACCGCCATTAACCATTTTGCTGCTGGACAGCACGACACGGCAGGCAGGGACATCTGTTCGTCCTACACTCAGCTCCGCATCACTGCTGGCTGTCCCGCACCCTGCCACCCTTGCTGCTCCCTCTCTGAACAGACATAAACCTGGGTCCACAACTTTAAACTAGTCTGGG